TTAGTCGCCCGATTTAGCCGCCCGATTTAATCGCCTAGTGGGTCCGACCCTTTACATACATACACCCCACATAGGCCTACACACAAGGACAGACACAGAGACACACACACACACACACATGCACACTGTATGGAAGACCCAGTGTTGGGCAGCTTGGATGGATGCAACCAGCTATTGTAAAATTGTCCATCGCTCCTTGGATTTATTCGTGGAAGCTTATGATGTTGCTTAGTCTCTTGGAAATGCTGGCAATGTGTCCCATGCAGTTGCTGGAAGTCATCTTGGTGTCAAGGGAAGCTCCAACATATTAATTGGCAGGATATATGCTGACATTATGCAGGTCAAGTTGTCCTGTGAAACATGTCATTCATGTCAGTTTTTGTCTTCACACCTAGTCGGTGCATGTGACGACCCTGCACTTGCATACAAAGTCCATTACACATATATGCTCTTCTACTGCGGTAGTGATTGCATGACTTCTTGCAATCACTGTGAATCGTCTATTCCATCTATTCAGTGATAATAGCAGAAAATTAGTGTCAGTCGGGAGTTAGCGAAAATGGGGCCGGGTTATTGATGTCATCTTCTATGTGTTTTACGAACGATAGTAACTTCGTGATGTCAATGGATTTAGGTGATGCATCTCCTTCTGACACTGCACATTCCTTTTTAGCATATAGATATTGTAACATGGGCACTCCCACTCTATATTGGGTTTCAAGATGGACGAGTGAAAGAAACGAAAGTAGAAGTATAAATTTTAATTTACAAATCACAAAGCTCAGATAATACAGATACAAGAGAAAATACTAGGCTGTTTTACCTACTAGGGGGTTTGGGAGACCAGGATAATTGTGCTTTCAGAGCTCAATGAGGTTAATATTGCCCTGGGTGACAACGACAACATACCATGCACAGCTATTTCATGATTGGCTGCCATTACCAATTATAACTGATTGGTCAGTCGGTCAGTCGCCAGGTTATTGATTCCAGCCATGCATTCACTTATGCGGTTAGACATATTTTTGTGTGTTTGCAATGTATGTGAGTTGCATGGATGAGTGGAATAAATGAACTTGTCAACGTGCATCAATGTCTTTTCTTCTATCAGTTAAGTCTGGATCTTCATAATCAGCAAGGCACTCAGCTATATCACTCTCATTCATCTTTCACATCTAGAGGGATTTTAAGCTGGAACACTCAATAATATGACTTATGCCTTATAACTAATGTCGATTCCCCAGCTTCATTAACCTGACTGGTATAACTTAAATAAACTTTTGCATTCACAAAAAAACATGCAGGCTTTCACACGATGAGCAAATGTTATCCAACAGCTGTACAACATTCAGTGATAATATTGGTAGCCTGCCAAATGGATGAATTATCCTTCTCCAAATTACCATACCAGTTTCTAGGTAATTTCAGAAAACTTCTTCAAACCCACACTCCCACATCCATGTAACATGTTAGGTCGGTTCAGGCTGAAGCCTGTTACAGCTTCCTAACACTGGAGCTCATGTAATGTGCTTGTGTGTTTGAAAATCACTAAAGCAAAACGAGCAAACTATATCAATGACATCATCTTACAATTATGGCAAAACTAACATAAACTCATTAAATATTGTAATCCATAATATAACATCATATAAGAATAATATATATAATTATCATAATAATATTTTTTGTATAATCATCTGTAATTAAAAAATGATTAAACAACCAGAAGAAAAATTACTAATTAAAATTAAAGGAATACAATGATAACAAAATATAGCAAAATGTCATGAAAAATTCGTGCATGATTGAAAATTAATTTCTAGAAAACTAGAAAATAAATAAATTTAGAGTTAAACAGTTATACATTAAGCGAAACGAACATGAAATCAGCACCTGCATGTAGGATGTGCATTGCTAAGATGTGCATATTTCGCTATTTAGTGAGTCTAGAATACTTAACGTCGTACATATAGGTTTAGTGTTACCAGTAGTAAATAACTTCTGTGAGATTATTTACTCCTTGATTTATATTAATGTGCTTATTAAAGTAGTCTTGTATTTTTCACAATAATATCAGAGGCAGTGTTTCCCCTGGCCAAAATGGTCTGTGAGGGTACGTGGTATTTTCTGGGTGTGTTTGCGGATTTTGAGGTCCTAGCTCACAAAGCGAGCATGGCAGGTGCTCGCCCATGCATGCATTACCCGCTTAATTAGAATGCATTACAGTGCCTAATTAGAATGCATCAAAATAGCTATTTTGATGCATTCTAATTAATCACTGTGATTTTCGTCAGCGAGGCAGTGTTTTGGACAAATTTCTGTGTGGTGGCTGAGAATTTGAGTGAGGCGGCACGCCTCACTCGCGTCAATGCAGGGGAACACTGAGAGGAATTATGATATATGTACTGTGATTTAATCAAAATGACATCCCCTTTCACTTTTTATGTATCTTATTACAGGTTTGCCATGATCAGGAAATGGATGAGCAGCTAACTGGTTTCCTGATACCCACTGTTACTGTACTGGATCGTGTTGGCCCTTGTATAGGGTATGAAACAAACTATTTTATTAGTGCTATTGATCTTTTAGCAGGGTTGTTTGCATTCTGCCAGACCTCAACGTGAATGTTGCGGTGTGTCCGCATATAATAATTGCGTGATAAGCAGCGCTACATGTGGTACCTGGTTACGGCTCGATATCCGCAGTTGCCATGGCACTAGCATATTACGATCTCTGCTTATCTACGATAAGTTAGAGGGATGCGAGATGGCTTAAATGCGGGTAATGTAGGTTCGCTTTGGTAATCATTACAGTGTATATATAATTCCCGTGTATCCGTGAATTCTTCTGTGGTGGTAATTCTCTACTGTCGAGCCATGTAGCTGCTATAATAGCAGAATAATTTAATTGCCTCGTACACAGGTGAGTTTATGTGATACATACAGCCATGATGACATTTCCAAGTGGCTAAACTGTGCAGACATATTTAATGTATCCGGTTACGGTATGTGAATGTGCCACAGAACTGTTTACGTAGCCGGGTGGGATTGCCAACTGAAGACCTATTGCTTGTTGTGCATGGCAACACTAATTAATTTAATAATAACATCAGGACTGAATAATAATAGATCTATATAATATATACATATATCTATAGATCTAATAATAATATATTATTATTCAGTCCTGATAACATATACAGGGAATAATTTTACCGGTATCGCATCGCAATTCGCGATGTATTTTCAGCCATTTGCTACGCATATTTTTTTATGAATCGCAGTTGTGCGATGCAGCCCATGCGAGATGTAAACGGAAACATACATGTTTACAATTTACTTTTATTCTCGGGCTGCTTTGCCCCGTCAATGAAATGCCACGTTA